GTGAGGATATAAAATAAAATTAAAATAAAATAAAATAAAAATAAATACCAACAACATACTTCACAAAGCTAGAACAAATACTCCAAAAGTTTATATGAAACCAAAAAAGACCCCCAAAAGCCCCAGCAATCTTGAAAAACAAGAACAAAGTTGGAGGGATCACAATACTGAATATAAGATTATACTACAAAGCCATTGTAATCAAAACAGCCTGGTGCTGGCACAAGAACAGGCATATAGATCAATGGAACAGAACAGAGAACCCAATAGACCCAAGACTTTATGTTAAATCAATATTTGACAAAGGAGGGAAGAATATACAATGCAGTAAAGACAGTCTCTTCAATAAATGGTATTGGGAAAATTGTACAGATACATGTAAAAAAAAAAAAAAAGAAAGAAAGAAACTAGACCACCAACTTACACCATACACAAGAATAAACTCAAATTGGATAAAAGACTTAATTGTAAATTGTGAAACCATAAAAACCCTAGAAGAAAATATGGGCAACAAAATCTCAAACATCACACACAGAATTTTCACTGATACATCGCCTAGGGCAAGAGAAACAAAGGAAAACATCAATAAATGGGACTACATCAAACTAAAAGGCTTCTGCGCAGCCAAAGAAACTAGCATTAAAATGAAAAGGGAACCTACTGTATGGGAGAACATATTTGCCAATGATACATTGAATAAGGAGTTAATTTCCAAAATATATAAAGTATTCATACAACCCAACAAAAGAAAGACAAACAATCCAATCTTTTAAATGGGCAGAGGACTTGAATAGAAACTTCTCCAAAGAGGATATACAAATGGTCAAGAGACATATAGAAAAATGCTCAACATCATTAATCATCAGAGATGCAAATTAAAGCAACTATGAGGTATCACCTCACAACTGCCAGAATGGCTACCATCAACAAATCAAATAAGTGCTGATGAGGATGTGGAAAAAAGGGAACACTAGTACACTGCTAATGGGAATGCAGATTGGTGCAGCCACTATGTAAAACAATATGGTGTTTTCTCAAAAAAATAAAATAAAAATGGAACTGCTATTTGACCCAGTGATCTCACTTCAAGGAATATATCCTAAGAAGCCTGAAACACCAATCAGAAAGAATATATGCACCCCTATGTTCAGCATCACTATTTACAATAGGTAAGATCTGGAAACAGCCCAAGTTTCCGTCAGTAGATGACTGGATAAAAAAGCTGTGGAACATATACACAATGGAACACTATGCAGCTGTGAGAAAGAGAGATCTCTTACCCTTTGAGACAACATGAAGGAAACTGGAGAGTATTATGCTAAATGAAATAAACCAATCAAAGAAAGACAATTATCACATGATCTCACTTATTTGTGAAATATAATGAACAAAATAAGCTGATGAACAAAATAGAGCCAGAGACATGAAATTAGGGAACAGACTGACAAAAGTCAGGGGAAAGGGGGGTGGGGATGGAAAGAGATAAACCAAAGAACTGATATGCATAACCAATAGACACAGACAACAATGTGGTGAAGGTAGGGGGGTGAGAATGAGGAGCAGGGTGTCAATGGGGGAAAAGGGGAGGGACATCTGTAATACTTTCAACAATAAAGATAATTTTTTAAAAGTAGTATTAGTGGCCCAGCCGGTGTGGCTTCGTGATTGAGCATCGACCCATGCACCAAGATTCCCAGTTAGGGCACATGCCCATGTTGTGGGTCCAATCCCCAGTGGGCACATGCAGGAAGCGGCCAATCAATGTTCTCTCTCATTGATGTTTCTATCTCCCTCTCTCTCTCCCTTCCTCTCTTTCTAAAAATCAATCAATAAAAATTTTTTTTAAATAAGTAAAAGTAGTATTAGTGAAAACTTAATATTCACACAAAAACCTGCACATGGATGTTTATAGCAGTTTTGTTCATAAACTCTCCCAACCTTGGAAGCGACCAAGATATCCTCAGTAAGTGAATTAATAAATAAACTGTAGTATACCCAGACAGTAGAATGTTATTCAGCACTAAAAATAAATGAACTATCAAGCCATGAAGCGAAAGGAGGAAACTTAAATTTGTATTACTAAGTGAATGAAGCCAATCTGAAAAGGCTGAGTACTGGATGATTTCAACTATGTCACACTCTGCAAAAGGCAAAACAATGGAGATCTTTAAAAAGATCAGTGGCTTCTGGGGGTTATGGGAAGGAGGAGGGATGAATAAGTGGAGCATAGAGGATTTTTAGTGCAGTGAAAATATTCTGTATGAAACTATAATGGTGAATACATGTCATTATACATTTCTCCTAACCCATTGAATGTATAACATCAGGAATGAACCTTAATATAAACTATAGACTTTGGGTTATAATGACATGCCAATATAGATTCATCAATTGTAACAAATATACCACTCTGGTGAGGGATGCTGATAATGGGGAAAGCTGTACATGTGTAAGGCAGAGGTATATGGGAAATATCTGTACTTTCCTTTCAATTTTGCTGTGAATCTAAAATTGCCCTAAAAAAAATAAGTCTTTTTAAAAAAATTTTTCCTCCACTTTTGACTCCATAGTTAAATATTTTCTTTTTAAAAATATCTTTAAAAGCAAGGAATGTAAGTGCATTTTGTGACTTTCATTAGCTTGCATGAAATAAAGGTTTGTGTAGTTAAAAAAGAAAGAAACCTTAATCATCAAACTAGATTGAAAAATCGTAACGAGTAATCTGTACCTAACAAAAAATATAGTTTCTTCTTATATCCATGAATGTTTTAAAAAATTCAATTGAGTACCCATGTCACAAAGAAAATATTGAATAATGTTTACAAATTCATATTCAATGGCTATATTCTCTTATCACAGGAAAACTATATTACAGGGGAAAAAAAGGACAAATATCTTATTCATATAAAAACTAAGAGCCCTGGCTGTGGTGGTGTTGTGTACACCAAAAGATTGTGGGTTCAATTCCCAGTCAGGGCACTTACCTAGGCTGCTGGTCGGGGCATATATGGGAGGCAACTAACTGATCAATGTTTCTCTCTCACATTGATGTTTCTCTCTCTCTCTCTCTCTCTCTCTCTCTCTCTCTCTCTCTCCTCCCCCCCTTCCCTCCTTTTCTCTAAACATATCCTCAGGTGAGGGTTTAAAAAAACTAAGAAACTTTCTTCAATAGCTAAGATCAAAATGATAAATTAATTCTGAAGTTGCACATTTCTTTTGAATTTATGAGATACAACTACATTTAGAGGAAAGTGTATAGTTTCAAATTTATTACTATAAAAAAGCTGAGAACCCAAGAGTGATTGCGTTAGGAACTTGGATTTCATTCATATGTGGGATATAAAACAAAAAACAACAAGTGAACAAACAAAAATCAAACTCATAGACAGACAAAAGAATAGTAGTTACCAGAGGGGAATGGGGTTTGGAGAGGACGAAGAGGGTAAAGGTCCAATATATGCTGATGGAAGGAGACTAGACTTTGGGTGTGAGCACAGAATAGAGTATCAGATGTTGTATTATAACGTTGTATACCTGAAATTTATATAATGTTATTAACCAATTTTACCCCAATAAATATAATAAAAATTTTAAAAATTAGAAAAAGAACAAACTCACACAAACACATGAAAATGAAACGCCAAACAAAAACTCAAAAAGTGGCAATTCATAAAAATTTAAGCTTACATAAATAAAACAAAATCTGGTCCTTTCAAATAATTATATGGATCAGCCCCTAACAAATCTATTCAAATTGTAAACAAAGAAAAATACAATATTCCTAATAAAACTAAAATATTCATTGTACCAGATTGGTAGTAATATAAACTAGTCATAGTGGAATGTGAGGTATGTTTAAAGAAACATACTTAAACATTTAGGTGAAATATGTGAGTCCCTGAGGAAAATGTAATCGTGAAAATTAATGAAAAAGTTAAAAGGGACCAGTAGTCACAGGCAGCATTACCAGACACACCTCCACTTGTATAGGAGGCCTGGCTGTGGCTGGCAAAGGCAGATGTGGCAGAGGTCTCAGTTCCCTTCTGGCAACCCTATAGGCCTGAAATGGGCATGACTAGATGAGGACCCAATGGACAGAGCAAGCTGGAAAGGACAAAGCCAAAGCAGGGTGTTGGGGGAAGGACAGGATGTGATGAGCAGGGCTGGAGGGACACAGACAGACCAGAACTGGATTGGCAGAGGCCAAAGCTGACAGAAAGGGCTGAGACCTCATGGCATGGTCAGGGATAGAACAAAATAGGTGGGAGCAGAGCATGATTGCCATGACACTTTGAATTCTCCTCAGTGTTGCAAAGCAGAAACATCAGGGAGTATCATCCCACACTCACTTATCCCCCATCCCAACATTTCCCCAGCTCCTCTGACCTAAGAAATATTAACAATTGCATGGAAGTTGGTGAATTGGCTGTGCACTAATCAGGCATCAACTATATACATGATGGCCTGGGATGGGGGCTGCAGGGAATAAGGGTCAGGACTGCCAGATCCTCTTTATAAAGTCCCAGCTCCCCTGACAGAGAGGACCCCTTGAACACTAAGTGGGCATCACTTCATAGCTTCCCCTGCATGGACACTGCAGCCTGCTTCTAAATATGGTTGTACTGTTACCCACTACCATCGGAGTTTCAGAATTGGGTATGTGGCCAGACAGATGGGGTTAGGGGCCATCCGGGGGTATTAAAAGCCCTATTCTTCCAAAGTTTATTGACAACACTCTGGGCACTGGGAAATGAGATTCCCCTGGCCCATCACAGGTTCCAGGATGGAAGAATAAACAGAAACAGGAGAGAATTTTGAGGACACCCCTCAAAATTTCTGTTTAGGGGATAGGCAGAAACAGGAGACAAAATGATAGAGAAACACAGAGACACTTTGAGATACCCTGAGAAAGAAGTGGTTAAAGAAACAGGTGTGTGAGAAATTTGTGGAGTATTTCCCTTGTACAGGACGTTGGATACAGGACCTCAGTCGAACAGGGCTTAGTTGTGTACTCTGGAGCGCAGGTCAGTGGTGAGTGGGTCATGCTGGACTGTCTGGTGAAGCATCAGGGCCAGCAGACCTGCCCGGTTCCTCATAGCTGTGCGCACCTTGTGCTCCCGCTCACTCAGCTCTTCCAGCTTATACAACTGTGGGAGGTCAGCATTAGAGTGGAATTCTGGGATTATATCCCATCCCTCAGCCCCACTCAGCATTGTAGCCTACCGCTCGCACACGCTCTAGGTCCACCTCGGCTCGCCTTAGCTTTTCCCAGCAGTAGTGGTGGATGCACAGCCGTTTGGGGAGACGACAGAAATTACCAGTGAGTTCAAAGACATTGTGCACTAGTGGGCAACCACACACCTCATCATCTGGTACCTGTGGGGAAGAATGACAAAAGATGAAGTATGGAGGAGGATAGCAATGGAAGATGATCGGGCAAGGCATGATAAGAGGAATAGGGTAATGAAGAACAGTCAGGCAGGAAGGAGAGAAATGAGGAGTGAATTACTGGGGGAAAGAGAGGAATTTGGTGATTAGGTTGAGAAAAGGAGGCAAAAGGGGATGATCAAGCATGGAAGATGGAGGAAGAAGTTAACAAGCAGGGATAGAAGAATGGAGGTGATTGGACAGGAAGGACAGAACAGTGAGATCAAACAGGAAGGAGAGGAATGGTGGAGGAAAGACCTGACAAGGAGAAGTAGGTGAATGAGAGTTGGCAAGACATGGAAGAGGTAAGAAATGAGGCAGAGAAGGTAGGAAGAATGGAAGAATGGAGGCAGTTGTTAAATAGGGACAAAGAAAGGATTTAGGAAATGACAGGCAGAGAAAAGATGATTGGGGGCAGTGAGGCAGGGAAAACAAAGAATGAGGGAAGTCCGAAAGTGAGGGGGAGAGGAATTGAGGGCAGCCATGCAGAGAGGAAGGGAGGAATGGGGGCAGTTGGGCAGGGGGTGGGAAAGGATTGGAGGATGGTCAAGCAAGGAAAAGAGAAGGAGAATGATTATGCAGTGAGGAGCAGAGAAATAGAGGGTGGTCAGGGAGGGAGGGAGGGAGGGAGAGAGAGAGAGAGAGAGAGAGAGAGAGAGAGAGAGAGAGAGAGAGAGAGAAATGTGGGGCAGGCAAGGAGGGTAGGAATAAACAGCAGTCAGGCAGCAAAAAGTAAGAACAGAAGGTGATCGGGCAGTGAGGAGAGGGGAATGTGGGATATTCAAGAAGGGAAGAGGAGACATAGTGGTCATAGTGGTTGGTCAGGAGGTATGAAGGCAGTCAGGAAGAAGGAAACAGGAGGCAATCAAACAGGGAGGTCAAACAGGGAGGAAGAGAGGAATAGGGTGGTCAAGCAGAGAAAAGGGAAGGAATGGAGAGTGAGGAGGGAAGAGCCTCACCTTGGGGTCTTTCGTGTGTTCAGGGCACAGCACCTGGAGCCGCTTACAGTACCTCTGACTCTTTGGGTCATAAACGTCACAGAAGAGCCTTGTGGCTCTGGGGGAAGGTTAAAAGTGAGGTGCTAAAGGTCAGGAGGAGGGCAGTCCTATCCTGAACCCTGTCTACATTTTATCCCCAACCTTACCCATACCCTGCCCAGAACTTACCCACCTCTGCCTTTGAGCCCACCTACATCCTGCCCATGATCTTGCCCACCCTGTTCCTGACCCAGTCCACATCATGTCTGACCAGCACCCATACTCACCCCTCAATGCAAGTGGGGTACAAGGACCCGAAGGACGATTTGCACTCGTACTGGAAAGAAAGATTATAAATGGGAGGAACTGTGGATGTACACTGCATGCCCTCCTGTGACAAAGCCCCAAACAATATATTTGTCCCCGTGGACCCTATGCTGCTGTCTGTTCAGCCAATAGCCCATCTCTCCATTGGCTGATACCCAATTGTCACCCTCATACTAGGGATGGAAGAAAAGTACAAATGAGTAGGACCATGGATGTATGTTGTAGTCCCCTCTACAACAAACACCCAGGCACCAAACCTGTTCCCCTCCCCATGAAACCCACCAAACCAAAAATACCCTTGCTCCATAAGCCCCCAGCCAATACCCCAACCTTGGCAAAGCAGTGCTCCATATGGCGGAGGGCAACATGCATACTGATGGATTTCCCACAGGAGACACAGAAGATCTGGTGGACACTGTTTGTGATAACTTTGATGTTCTGCACAAGAGAGTGGAGGAGCCAGTGAAGTAGTGCAGAGTGGGTATGCACAGGGCAAGATATCAAGTACCTTTCCAATACACCCTACCTATTCCCACTCACCTCCTCATCACTGTACACAGCCTGCTGCTTGCCACGCAGAATGATGGCCTCAAGTTCATGAAACTGACATTCCATTTCCTTCAGGCGGGTGTGGGTGTCCTGCTGCTCACGGAGGATGCTCTCGAGCATTTTCTTGCCATGCTCCTCAGCAATACAGGGGCTGTTATGCCACTGCTGAATGCGCTGGGGCAGGATTTCATAGATACGTCTGGAAGGGGAGACAGCAAGAAATGAAATTGGTAAGTAGAGGCAATAAAAGAAGAAGAAATGGATGAGTGACCAAATGGTGAATATATAGGGTAATAAACGTTAGATGAGTGAATGCTGGGGAATGAGTGATTAAATGGTGGATGAATGGGTAGATGGTATATGGCTGGGTGGGTAAATGACTATAAGAGTGGATGAATAGGTTGGTGAATGGAATGCAGATGGGTGGTTCAGTGGGTGGGCGGGTGGATGAATGGGTAGGGAGTAGATAGACTCACAGATGGCATAGGCCATGCCCTACCCCAAGTCCTGTTGCTTAACCTCCAGGTGCACTCACTTAGCTGCCAGCTTCATGCCACAGTTGTCTGAGCAGTACTTGGAGCCTGGCCTGGTGGGATTCACACAGCCAGGTCCCAGGCACTGCTGCAGTGGGGCTAGGTCCTTGGCAGCCATCTGCTCTAGATGTTTCCGCCTTTCCATGAGTTTCTGCTTCTTCTCATTCTGTGGGACAACCATGGTCAGGGCAGGGGTAAGGGAGTCCCCTAACCCTGGACCCCTGCCTTCCATTGGTCTCCCAACCTCTGCCTCCATGTCCCCCTCCATCATTTCTGTCACCTTCCACTCCATCTTTTTCTTTAATTTCTCCATTTTCTTCACATTCACTGTCTGCTTCTGCAGTGCAGGATCCAGGAGCAGGAACGCCTCAAAAAAAAAAAAAAATCTACTTTGTTGTGTAACAAGCCATCCTTCAAATCAAGGGATAAAACAAAAATCATTTATTAATTCAAAATTCTGTGGGATGACAATTGGGATAGGCTCAGCTGGGCAGTTCTGCTGGTTTTGCCTGGGTTTCTCCATATGGTTGTAGTCAGCTAGTGGCTGTTTGGTCCTAGATGGTTTCACTCATATTTGTAGGTTGATGGGTCAGTGGAAGTAATGGAGCCATGAGTCTCTATCAACTGGCAAGCTAGCCTCTGTTTTTCACATGGTGACTGGATTCCAAAAGCACCAAAAAAGCAGAAGCCCCAGTGTTTAAGTATACAGTAAACCCTCAATTTATGGATCTTGATTTGCAAACCTTGATTTAAAGGACTTTGATTTAATGTACAAAATTTCTGGTCCATATGTCATATGTGAAAGTTAATACCCTGTTAATTTTCTTTTCTTTTATTTTATTTTATTTTATTAATTAATTTTGTTACAGATGTTTCTCCTTTTTCCCCCCACTGATTCCCCCCTCCCCCTCCCTCCCTGCCCTTTCCCCAGTTTGCTGTCCATGTCCACTATTCATGCATACATGCATATAAGTTCTATGGTTTATCTCAAATGCTTTTAACCAAGATTTGCTTTTAATCAAATTAACAGGTTATTTTTTTTGTTATTAATTTATTGTTATTTTAAACAAATTTTAGCAAATAGGCCATATGTTGGAAAAAGTACTACAGTAATTTCACCAACATAAATAAATATTACATATCTACAACTATAGTCTACATATTTAAATCTAAGAGTCACCGCTCCTACACAATGTTCGGCAAATGATTAGCATGTGATCACACCAAATTGCTGGTGGTAATTGGTTCTGCTGTCTAGAGGCATGACTTTCTGCAGCAGTTTTAACTCATGCTGGTCGATGTCATGCACTAAGCCACACCCCAGCCATGTACATTTGTTTACTCACAGTGACTGGTGAATGCGTGCACTTACTAGACCTAGTCAGAATAAATCTAAATTACTGTAATACATATAGAAAATTTTCCTGTGAAAGTAAAATTTTCATACATAATTTTAGTTACACAAATGTGTCTACATAAGTAAAAACAGGTAAACTAACTAATTTGTTAATTGTTATATAATAGACTTTCAGCTTTAATGGATACCCCATCACCTGAATTAGTCCACTCTATCGAGGTTTTAACTATATTTTAAGCCTCTGCATGCATCGTGTTTGCTAGCATCCCAAAGGACATGTCACTCATCCAGGGCTACAGGCCAGGAAAATGCTGACAGATCTTCCCAATTTGTTTCTTAAATGGCCTTTGGACACTTCCTGACTCCTCTCTCCTCATTGCTGACCCTCTCTGCCTTTATTGTCCCCATCCTTCTATGCATGGACTCTGCCATACACTCATCAGACTTTGATTGTCAAAAGTCCCCTATGAGCCCGGCTGGTGTGGCTCAGTGGATTGAGCTTTGTCCCATGGACTGAGAGGTCCCGGTTTGATTCCCAGTCAGGGCACATGCCCAGGTTGTAGGCCCAATCCCCGGTGGGGGGCATGCAGGAGGCGGCCAATCAATGTTCTCTCTCATCAATGTTTCTATCTCTCTCTCCTTCTCCCTTCCTCTTTCTCTAAAGTCAATAAAGAAAAAAAAATTTTTTTAAGTCCTGGTATAGTTTTCAGTCCTGAGGCAGATCCTTTTCCATTAACAGCTGGGGTATTATCTGAGGTGTTTCCTTTACTGCCAATGACACTGCCACCATCTGGTATTTCTGGGATAGCCTAGACTTCTGCAGTTGAGGCAGCTATGGTTGAGTGGGCAGTTGCCAGTGGGATCAAGGCAAGGTCTCTGAGGTTATTATAGGCAAGAGCTGAGAGGCAGACCCTTCATTCCCCCATCCACCCTGTATCCTGGACTCACCAGAGACCAGGGATTACAAGTAGGGTTCCTGTGTTAGAAGGAGGAAGGCTCTGGCTCAGCACTGAGTGGCTGGGGACAGGCTCACCTTGCCCTAACACTCCTGGCCTCACCTTCCGGCCAAAGTTGGGGAGGGGACCACTGCACCTGCCTGGATATGCTAGGTCTTGCCTGCCTGGGAATGACTGACGCTACCTGGCCTGGCTTGCCCACCTTATCCAAACACACCTGGCTGGTATATCTGGCCCCAACTTTCCCATCTGATTGTATAAGGCCCTGCCTACCTGATCAGAAAAGCTACTCCACTGCTTTACATTTGCTCAGTTCAGCCTGCTCTGCCCCACCATTTAGAACATACCTGCTACCCTGCTTCCCTGCTTGTGGGGCACCCTGGTCCCAGACAATCCACCTCTGCCCAGCCACTCAGACAGGTCCCGCCCACCCACATTTCCCACCCAGTCCACCTAGTCGCTCCAGGCCCTGCCTGCCTAATCCTACCCTCTTGGACACATTTCTTCTTGCCTTACACTCCCAGCCCTGTGGGACCCATACACTGCACCACGGCATACTCACCCCATGCCTGGCCTTGCTCCCTTCCCAGATTCTCTCAGCCTCATACGGCCCTCCCCCATTCCTGCACAGACGGAGTTCTGCCATACCTTCCACGTATTGACCCATGCCAAGCCCTGTCCTCGCTCCCCACCTGCACATGCCAGGCGGAGCTGTGTCTGCCCTGACTGTCTTTATTCTGAAACTTACTCTTACCTGTACCCAGTAACACCAAGTAAAATATATAAATATACACATTTTTTAAAATGTTTGTGTGCATATGTGCACACAGGCAAACAAATCATTACTGTCAGTGATTAATAGAGCAAGCACGCACAATGAAAGAGTACACACATTTTCAATAAGACAATTATCAATTCACGAATTCATACTATTTTCAAATGAGACATTCAATATTAATAAAAACTGGCCCTGGTAGCCTTAAAGGAAGTCTAAACACATTCCAATGAATAAGCATCACATAGGGCACAAGTAAGTTACATTAGAAACAAAAGACTTAACTTTTGAAAATTGAAAGGGCAGTTCTAAATAACTTTTGATAAACAGAAAAATAACTGAAATAAAAAAATAAAAAAAAAAAATAAAAAAAAACACTTAGAACTTAACAAGGAGGAGAAAACATACCCGACTGTGGTCTCAGATGGAACTTTAAAATGAGAACATGAGGAAAGAAGAAAGACGGAAAGTACTAATCTGAGCATTCAGCTCGAATTAGAACGAGTCCCCATCTTGACTCCAAAGTCCCCCATTATCAACCTAAAAATCCCCCTCATCCACTCTTCAGATCACAAAACCCACAGTCCCTGGTCAAAGCCCTTACAAAATACCTCAGCCGGCACTAAACGGTAGAAAACTTCGTGGTAGAAAGCTTCGTGGTAAGTGCCATGAAAACGCTACTTCGCGCTTTGGTATCGACTTTTGCCCCGCCCCTTCTTGAATGTGTTGGGTTTGCGCATGCTCAAGACCCACTGCAGACCTGAAATTCCCCAGATTCTCCGTCCAAAGTTCAAATAGCAGGTAGCAGAGAAACCGTAGAGGTCAAGGGTGCGCCATTTGCTGAACACCTTGCCACTGGCCTACATGGATACACTTGTCTATTTTGATGCCAGCCCCTCACCGTTTTACATGTTGGAGTAATCAATCATTGCCTTATTGTTTATGGTAGGAATATTGATCCCCTTATCATTTCCAATTATTTTGATTTTTTTATATTATTACTATTTTACTATCTGCTATTATTTTATCATGAGGTAGGCAATGAGAAAAACAAGCAGAAAAACCCCCACATAAATCCATTTTTAAAAGTCAAAAAAGTAGAAAAAATATATATAGAAAGGGCAGAAAAAATAGAAAGCAACGTGTAAGAAAGTAGGAATAAGTTCATATTTGAAGTTCATATTTTATTACTTTTTATTAATCGGCAATAAAAATTGTTAATGGAGTTAAAGTCAAAGATGGCCATTTTGGATGAAAATGAACAAATCTGGCTATATGCTGTTTATGCAAATCCCAGCAAATCATAAAACTACAGAGATATTTAAAATAGAGGAATGGAAGAAAATTTGCCAGGCACATGCTAATCAAAGTAAGATCAGCTACATTAATGTCAGGCTAAAAATACTATGACAAAAGTATTAATTGAGATTGAAAGGGTCATTCCATAATGACTTGATTCACCATGAATATGTAAAATTTTCAATCTTGTACACAATTAACTGGTGTAAAATTAATATAAAGAAAAATATATTAGAACAAAAGGTGAAACAAAAATAAAATATTCTCACCTAGCCAGTGTGGCTCAGTTAAAAAAATTTTTTTTAACTGAGATAGCAAAATTATTTCAAAAACAGAAAAAAAAATTCGCAGTATAGAAGATTACAATCACACTGTTCTTTTTTGTTTGTTTTTAATTTTTTTCTTTACTGATTTTAGAGAGAGAGAGAAACATCGATGAGAGAGAGCATCGACTGACTGCCTCCTGTGTGCCCCCCACTAGGGATTTGGCCCACAACCTGGGTATGTGCCCTGACCTGGAATCAAACCAGTGACCTCTTGGTGCAGGGGTTGACACTCAACCACTAAGCCACACTGGCTGAGCAATCTTTCTGTTAGGAGGCTATTTTCCCTGAATCAAACCTGGCATCTAATGACAGTGTCCCCAGATAAATCTTTACAGTTTATATCAAACCCAGTTTTGGGACTGAGGCAGAAGGTGAGAAACCCAAGCTCAACTCAGAAGCAGTTTGTGAGCTCTAAAGAAAGCATTGCTTCTTTATGGCCATGAAAGTTTATAATTACTACTTGTGATGTCCAAGCTAATCTTTTAACAAGATTGACAAACCATTAGCTAGATTGGCTAAGAAAAATAGAAGAAGATTTAATAAAAGTATAAATGAAAGTGGAGACATTACCACATAATAGAATAGAGAGACCAGAAATAAACATTTGTATATATAGTCAAATGATTTTTGAGAAGGCTGTCAAGACCATTCAATGGGGCAAAAGCAGTCTCAACAAAGTGTGCTGGGAAAATTAAATATCCACATGCAAAAGAATGAGGTTGGTCCCTAACCTGGTGAAGGAAATAGACACACAAATCCAGGAAGCACAGAGAGTCCCAAGCAGGATGAACCCAAAGAGGTCCACACCAAGACAGATCATAATTAAAATGCCAAAGTCAAATACAAAGAGAGAATTTTAAAAGCAGCAAGAGAAAAGCAGTTAGTTATCTACAAGGGAACTCTCATAAGACTGTTAGCTGATTTCTCAACAGAAACTTTGCAGGCCAGAAGGGATTGGCAAGAAATATTCAGTAATGAAAAGCAAGGACCTACAACCAAGATTACTCTACCCAGCAAAGATATCATTTAGAATCAAAGGACATTTAAAGAGCTTCCCAGACAAGAAAAAGTTAAAGTTGATTACCACCAAGCCAATATTACATAAAATGTTAAAGGGTCTTTATTAAGAAGAAGGAAGAAAACATTAAAAACATAAACAATAAAATGGCAATAAATGCATATCTATCAACAATTACTTTTTTTGCAGGTATTTATTTATTTATTTATTTATTTAGACTTTTTTAAAAATAAGACTTTATTGTTTAGAGCAGTTTGGGGTTTATAGCAAAATTGAGCACAAAATACAGGGAATTCCCATATAACCCTGCTCCCTCACATATCAACAATTACTTTAAATGCAAACAGATTAAATGCTGCAATCAAAAGACACAGGATAGCTAAATGGATAACAAACAAGACCCTTACATATGCTGTCTACAAGAGATTCACTTCAGACCAAAAGATACACACAGATTGAAATAAAAGAAATGGAAAAAGATATTTCATGAAAATGGAAACAAAACAAAACAAGCTGGGGTAGCAATACTTATACCAGACAAAACATACTTTAAAACAAAGGTTATAACAAGAGATAAATAAGGACCCAGCAACTCCACTTCTGGGTATTTATTCAAAAAAACCAAGACACTAAGTCAAAAAGACACACATCCATGTTTACTGCAGCATTATTTACAATAGCCAAGATATGGAAGCAACCTAAGTGTCCATCAATAGATGAATGGATAAAGAAGAAGTGGTGCATATATACAATGAAACATGATTCAGCCATAAAAAGGATGAAATCTTATCATCTGAAACAACATGGGTGGATCTAGAGAGTATTATGCTAAGTGAAATAGGTCAGACAAAGACAAATGCCAGATGATTTCACTTATATGTAGACTCTTTTTAAAAAGGCCTGGCTGGTTTTGCTCAGTGGTTAGAGCATTGGCCTGCAGACCAAAGAGTCTCGGGTTTGATTCCAGTCAAGGGCACATACCTCAGTTGCGGCTCATCCTCTGGTCAGGGTCGTGCGGGAGGCAACCAGTTGATGTGTCTCTCTCACATTGAGGTTTCTCTCTCTCTCTCTCTCTCTCTCTCTCTCTCTCTCTCTCTCTTCCACTCTATCTTAAGATAAATAGAAAATTGTCCTCGGGTAAGGATTAAAAAATAATAATAATTAAAATAAATAATAAATAAACAAGCAGAACAGAAACAGATTTGTAGATACAGAAAACATTTTGACGGTTGCCAAATAGGAGAGGGGTTGGGGGGATGGGTGAAAAAGATGAAGGGATTTAAAAGTACAAATTAGTAGTTATAGAATAGTCTCAGGGATGAAAAGTACAGCACAGGGAATATAATCAATATCATTGTAATAACTGTATATGTTGTCAGATGGGTACCAGATTTATCAGGCTGATCACTTCATAAGTTATATATCTGTCTAATCACGGGATGGTACACCTGAAACTAATATATAATATTGTATGTCAACTGTAATTTAAAAATTTTTTAAAGGGAACCATTAAAAAAATAATAAAATTGGATCTTCACTTAACACCATACAAATTCAGAATGGATCCATGACCTAAATGTAAGACCTAAAACTCTAAGAAGAAAACATGAGCCAAAGGCTTCACAACATTGGATTAACAATGATTTCTTGGGCATGACACCAAAAACACAGGCAACAAAAAAATTGACAAATTAAACTTAATGAAAATTAAACATTTTTTGCATCAAAAGACACTATCAACAGAGTAAAAAAAAAGCAACTCAGAATGGGAGAAAATATTTGCAAATCATACATCTAATAAGGGATTAATATCCTGAGTATATAAAAAACTTCTAAAACTCAACAATAAAAACAACCTGATTCAAAACTGGACAAAGAACTTGAATAGACACTTTTCTGGAGAAGATATACAAATGACTAATAATCACATGAAAAAATGCTCAACATCACTAATCATTAAAAAATGCAAATCAAAACTACTATAAAATACCACCTCACACACATTAGGATAGCTACTGTTTTAAATAAATAAATAAATAAATAAATAAATAAATAAATAAATAAATAAATAAATAGTGTTGGCAAGAATGTGGAAAAAATTGGAATCTTTGTGCACTATTGATGGGAATATAAAATGTGCAGCCACTATGGAAAATAGTGTAGCAGTTTCTCAAAAAATTTAAAATAAAATTACCATATAATCCAGAAATTCCACTTTTGAATATACACTCAAAGGAACTGAAAGCATT